GGTTACTGTGTGACTGCTCATTGCTTACTTTGCTTTTGTTTTATGTTTTTCCTGATACTTGCTGAAAGCTCTAAACCCAAATAAATGACAGGTTCAGTAAAAACTCAATCTTGCTTTTGTGCTGCAAAAGCCCATTCAAGGCTTCATAAGCCCCTCAAAATTGATTTTTGGAGCACTGTTATTTAATCTGTCCTTCACAAAACTTTAATGCCTTGAGCAAATCCTTCTCGCCTTATTCCCACCACTAGGCACTTTGACTTCATGGTAAGCAGAAATGTAAGACAAAAAATGCAGTTCAGATTGTTCCCCCAGTCCCTAGTAATTCTCTAACTTGTCTATTCTCCCTTTCTCATTATTGAATAAAGCCTCCTGTGTAAACACTACTTTTTGTGCTCCCATGGCACACAGACGTTTTCCCATCAGTCGCTGGCTCTCCCCCACCTGCTGTATCTGACTTATTAGTTCAGCTTCACTTTTGCTTCACCTATTTGTTCCCCAAAGAATTATATTTAAAGTTCATGGCACTGTTCTTATTCTCAGCATACTTTCCCTTCACATATCTACCGGGCCTGCAGATAATGCTGTGTAATGTTCCCCGGGCTCACCGGCACCAACTCCAATATTTTCTTGCAGGGTTCAGTCTTTAAAAGAAGGTCTATGGCAGAGACAGCAAAGGGAATCTGCAGGCTAACTACAGCCCAGTTAATGTATTAATTCAACCTTCTTGTCAGCTTACCGTTACATTGGCATCTGAACCGCCGCCAGCCATAACAACCTAATGCAGTGCTCCAACACCGCAGCTTTGCATGCGGGACTGGCTGCAAAACAACATTGACTGCATTTGAGTCAGTTCTTTTTGCATGTGACACCCTTCTGAGAGTTTGCTGTCAACCGTTAATTTACATGTAAAGGAGGAGGCAGAAGGAAATCCAGTAAAACTGAACGCAGAAAAAACAGTATTCTGACTTTGCACATCTTGTATGGCTGGCCTCAAGTACCGTATGGCCCTGACTACAGGTGCAGTTTGATGCTGTTGCTGCACTCAGAGCATCTGGGTTTGGCCTGCAAGGTGACAGGAAGCTTAAAACTGCCCATAGTTAGGGCTCACTTATCTCAACCTACTTTGAAAGAGCAGTGTTTGAAGCACTGTTTTTTTACAGAAGTTTTAGTATCAAATAACCCCTCTATCCTTGTTACTTTGTCTTTTCTTTATTAAAAGTTTTCAATGAAAGAATACCAGCTAATGTAGGTAACTAGAAAGAACCAAGTAACAAAAGTTATGTAAAGACTGAAATATTAGCAGTTAATGCTGGCAGTAAGTAGCTTAAAGTAGTTAGTACTGTCTGCCACATTGTTGATATTGTAATGGCCTTTAAACAATAACTCAGTGGTGATCATGTTGTCATCTGTCTTCTAATAAATGTTTGTCCCTACCAGCTGTACCTTATATATGTTATATTACATTAATTTCTCTGGAACTTTTATGTAAAACTCAATCAACAGAATAGAAAACCAGCTTAAATGTCTTTAAAATGTTCACATTAAGGGCTTCTGTATGGTTTATTTTTTTAATTATTTATTTGACTGAAGAGCCTTATGGTTTGAGTGATTGTCAGATACAAATTGTAAGGTGGACCTTGGTTTGACTGAAATCAACAGCAAAGCATCCGTTGACTTAATTTTACCCCAGAGGAGGTAAAAGGAAATTGGAAAAGAATGTGCAAAGAACAGAAGGATTATGACTCCAGCCACAGAGTGGCTTATGGGGTTTTGTCTGGTATCTTTTTAAATTCTTAAAAAAAATGAAAACAATTTGTAGCTACAATTTGTGGCAGAGTATATATAAGCAATACTAATACATCATGGCACTGCAGTTCAGGAAAGCTGCATACCTTGTGTGTTAATGTGATACCAGTCCAACACGCAAATGACTTCAGCTACCCAAAATCACAGCGATCCTCTAAGAAGAGAGTAAAGTGCTTGTGTTGTCTCAGTGCTAGCAGGACATGGAAATTAGTTTAGTAATAAATGGAAAGGATGGCATCCAGAGATTAATTAAAAAATACTGGAAATAAGTTGATAAAATTTATAAATAATTCCATCTCTGAAAGAAAAAAAATAATTTATAATTTCTGCTGTGGAACGAATGTCCTTGTGAGTTGCACGTAGCTTTCTCACACCTACAGTCCTGTTAAAGAGTGTGCAGCGGTTGGGCATTCTGAGCAACTGTACGTAGCATGGACTTTCTCCTTGGATTTTTTTTCCCCAGAACACGGTTGCATTTTAGAACTTTTTTGGACTAAGGCATTTTAACCTTGTTTTCACTTTTGGGTGACATTTTTCCAGAGATGAGTCAAAATACTGGCAAGGGGAGTGTTTAGTGACAATACTCAGAATTTCGGATGCATGCTTTCCAGCTGTCTTGTTATTTCTGAACTGTCAGTAACATTTTATTCAATTTTTAACACTTAAAACATGATTTCAGTTTCACTGTAATAGTAAACACCCCACAAAAGCTGTGTTTTGTAACAGCAAAAGTAGCTATTAATGCAGAGATTTGTAATGTGTTGCTTTTATATGCCAAATAATACTCTGTGTGTGTGTATGTATTCAGGACATTAATACATGAATGGTTTTGTAAACAGTGGCCTGGGTTTCAGTCTTATTTCCACTTGCCTTGCTCTGCTGTGAATGTTGTAGCTTTTCCTGACTTAGACTTGTAAATAACAGGAGAATAATGCTACCTGTGTATTAAACATACAGATAACTTCTATACAAAGCTTATCATGTGCCATAATGGTGTCAAAATTACCAACGAAGAAGTAATCGTCTCTATACCACCCAGATCAATTTGTATTGACGTGTTTGGAAGGCCAACTTGTTTCATTAAATACCAGCTGCTTCAAAAGCTGAACCTGACTTGTATCATCAATGCCATCACCAACTTAGCACCTTCTAATTATCTTGAAACACTCTAGAAATCTGGTCCTTGTCTTTGTTTCTCCAATTATATCCTTGTACATGCAGCAGATAATAGATTTTGTGACCATATAATAGTATATGCCCCTTCATATTAAATGACCAAAACACAAACAGTTGTGACTTAATCAGTTGCAACCTGGCATCACTATTATGGCTTCATGGAAAGAAACAGGACTCTGGACAGTTTTTGTTTTTTTTTTTTGTTTTTTTGTTTTTGTTTTTGGTAGAAATACAAATCTATCTGTTAAGAAAAAGTGGCGAGAGAGGAAAACAAAAATAAATATAAAGCTTCCACTCGGGTTCCGTGAATGTCGTATTCTCTGTATATCCTGGCATATGCTAAGCTTTTAAATAAGTGTTTCTGAAGTACCTTACAACAGCTTAGCTCCATGTGCCATCCAGTTTTTGCTATAAAAGTGGCCAGCCTGATCATCTATCTCATGAGGCGAGGCAAACTCCTTTAGGCAAAATTTATTGTGAGGAGAAGCAAATTCCTTCAGTCAAATGGGCCAAATATCTCGTTGACAAAATCACCAAGTAAAGTATATACTGGTTTGTTTTTTTTTAATTTGAAAAAAACCCAAACATTTGGTTGCAGCTAAAACATAAAAACACCTGAATCAAATTTTCCACATATGAAAACAAGGAAATCTGGAAACTGACACTATTTTAGGCTAATTGCATTTTGTTGGGTTTCGGGGAGTGCTACATAGTAGCAACTGTGGGAAAACCACTAAATAGTTCTCTGTTTGAACCATCTGTCACGAATATGGGACATATGTTCGCTTTGTTTATGCAGGAGCCAAGTGGA